GTCTGTCAAGTAACAGCAGATACACAGCTATATGTTGGAATTATTCACAGCAGCAAATTGTGGTGAAAGTTTCAACATCTAGCCAAAACAGAACACAATACAAGAACTGTAACAACACTAAACATGTTCTTAAAAACGATAACCTCTCCTATAATTCAGAATCCATCTGGACACACTAAACTGCGGAGAAAAATGTGAGCAAATACAATCTGGAAAACAAGTGACATGATCAGTTCCATATACACAACAACAGTCCAAAATACATATATCAAAATCTTTCCATAGTCGCTGAGAACACCCTTTACTTAAAAGATGAAAACCAATGTGAGACTAACATAAATCTGTTTCAAATTTACCTCTGTGACCTACCATAAACATAAAAATGTCACCATTCACTTAGAAAGTAATTTGTCATATGGTAACATGAAACTGCACTATTGAACATATTTTAATATACATTTTCAAATGCGAATCCATTCAATACAATGTAAAGTAGCAAGAACTATACTAAGGACACGGAAAGGAGTGCCAAGGATCAACTTCTTCCACACCTCTCTCGAGTTGCTGCACCCCCCTTCCCTCCCAAAATAAACCCGTTTCTCCACGTTGCCCAGTGACATCTAACCACCTTGTTCACTTGGGTGTCAGTAGCAATAACCATGCAATAACCTTTGTTAGCAATAAGCACTCTGAGCTGGTTAGGGAGGATCACAAATGGGAAAGCTTTTGTGTGTTGTCACCTCCATCATTGTTGGAACTTCCTTCTATGCCTTCAGTGTAAGTGAGAATGTTACAGTGAATTTACAATTTATGGACATCCATTTAGTAACCATGGCATTCAGAGACGAAAATGGAACATATACAATGAAACTATTCTGACTTCTCCAGTTACTTATTATATGTACTGATTTATATTTAAAATATCTGAGCAGTTTTAATACAGGCAATCCTAATTTAAAGCAGTTAATGTTAAGACCCGTAAGAAGAAACAGACAGTTGGTGAAATTAAGGATACACTGGTGTGGACTGGTGTTATGTATAGGTGGCAAGAGACTATCTTACAGAATATCAAGAATAAGGATAAATTCTAAACAGTTCTGACAGTGGGATGGTGTAACTAGTATTAATGAGATTCTGGACTTCATCTGTCACACTGGAATTTCAAACAGAAAACATCATTTTAGAAACTGAATCTGTTCCTGCCCTCATATGAAAAGATGAGGAAATGCCTCCTAAGTTGGGTCTGTTAGACCTGTCACTCATCTTGTCCACATGAGAAAAGTCCAGAGACCCATTAACACTAAAAATTTAAGATGTCAAAATAAGATCACTGAGGAGACCACAGACTATCAGAGAGACCAAATGAGGGAAGACACACAATATACAATATGGATAGACTGGAGATAATCAACAGGTGTACTTAAGAAAAGGAACAGAACAATGGAGACAAACTTCCCACAAGAATATGCTAAATTCAAGATGATAGAAACAGGTATAAAACACTTATAGTGTTTAGGTGTTGACTATAACTTCAACTCTTTTTCAGTCTGGTGCAAACTTAGTGAGATAGATTTTATCTGCAGTCACGCTCTCAGATTAAATTATCGACCACATGTCCAATAAGGAAAAAAGTTAAATTTTACTAACAATACTTAATAGGAACACAATATTAAACCACTGTCATCTGACATCAATATCAATTGCTCTGCCAAAACATACATGCAATGTCTCCAAGATGCCTTTATGCTTGCATTTAGGTTATGCTAGTGCTTCATCTTGTCATCAACAGATTGGCCTTTATTTAGCCTAAGAATAATTTTTCTTATTGATCTAAATTAGCTGATATACTGATTGAACTAAAAATGATTTAACACAAGATAACAATGAAACAGCAGCAACTTTCTGACATTTAAATGAAACTGCAAGGACAGGCAAGAAGCCATTTAAAGAAGTCTCCAAGAGGTTAACAATACCAAAAAGTCAACCAACAAAAGTGGACTTCCTTTCTGAATAGTCAGATGGGCAGATAAAGCTGAAACAATATCCTCTTTGCATTCCTGCCTCCAAAATAAATAACACCACATGTACGACCAAAATTAAATTCTGAAAATGCATATACCATCATGAAAATATATTCACACATTACATAAAACCCACATGTTCATATTCTGGCCCCTTCTTCTGTCTAATTAAGTTCCTGTTACATACATGTAAGTTCTGACATCACAATGAAATTACACCATGAAAGTATAAATGTATACCATATAGAAAATACAATGAAAAGTTTTCACAAATTACATTTCTCAGTTTTTTAAGAATGTGAAAAAATATGCAACCTCACAACAGGCAAACATTAAACATCTTTAACCAACACCTCAAAGAGTTTCACAAAGGCACTTAGACGTGTTACAAGAGAGATGAAATACGTATTAAAAATCAGCAAATGACTTTTTTTATAATAAAAAACACCTGTGTTAAATGTGTATACTTCTAATATACACACTTTCTAATGCTGTATTAACTTGTTTCATATTTTGCAAACAATAATCTCCACGCATACACATAGGGCCATAAAAAAGATGCAGTAGTTCTAATTCCCATATTTATTTATGTATTGCACTTACAGCATTGGTTCTAATACCAAAACACTAACATAGCCCAAGAGATTTTATTGACATAAGGAAAAAATGAATATGTGATCCTTGTGCATCACGTACTACTTGCAGATTTCTTTTTTAGATTTCCACGAACTGCAGCCAGTTTCTTTAATGATGCTTTCCATAGCAGCTGTGATTTCTGCCTTCTATTCTTCAACCAGCTATGGGACATCACTGACTGCTAATAAACTCCAGACTGTCATGTGTTTCATGACAACAAATTCATTAATTTCAGCGTAACTATTGCACCTTTTCTTTTTACTTCTTTCTGATGACCATGTACAATATAATATGATCCCTAATTTTACAGTTATCAAATTAGTTAAGGCAAGGCACATGCTCATTAATAACTATAGAAGGAAAAGTCTTTTTCCCCTAAGTAACAACAAAGGCTGAAAAGGTATAATATGCACTTATAAAATTAGCTCTACAGTTTATAAGAAAAGTGATATTGTTTAACAAACTCAGGCATCTATTTTTTTTTATTACTAGTGGGGTAAGACTAAGTTCCTTGTACTGCGGCCACTTCTGGCCTCTTGTACCAGCCCCAGATGATAGGTGAGGGTGATTGTGGAGCAACTGGTGGAATGAAGATTGGCAGGGGAAACCGAAGTACTCGGAGAAAACCTGCCCCAGCGTCACTCTGCCCACCACAAATCCCACTTGACCAGACCCAGGTTTGAACACGGGCCGCCATGGTGGGAAGCCAGCGACTAACTGCTTGAAATATGGCGTGGCCAACTCAGGCATCTAAGTTTGTAAACATTTTCAACAATTTGACATAAGGGGTTAGATCATGACTATCAGCAACTTTTTCACTCTGGCTGATATGCAGAGAAAAAGGACCTATTAATACATATATGTATCCATTTCACTTGGATTTCAATTATTTTCCTGTAGCTGATATTTTACCGACCAAGGATGATAAGAGTCATAAACTGGGGATTATGATACATGGTTTGACAATAAAGTTCGCGAACCCATCATTGTAGATACCTCATTGCTGAATATCACTATGGTCACCTTCAAAGTACTCCCCTTGGGAACCTATGCATCGATGCCAGTGCCTAGTTCAACCTTCCAAAAAATTTTGGAACTGATTTTGTGGAATAGAACGTTGAACAAACATTAAATTTCTTCTTAAATTTGGCAAGAGTGGAAGTGAAATCAAAGAGATTAGTGTAAGTTTACAGCAAAAATGTGTTGAATAAAACAGCAGTTTGCAAGTGGGAACACATTTTTGTGAAGGAAGAGGAAGTGTCACTGTCAAAGAGAGAGCAGAAATGAAGAAAATATTGCAAAAGTTCATCAAATTGTGCGTGAAAATCTCAGTTGACTGTCAAGAGCATAGCAGAAAAAGCAATACTTGACAGAGAAACAGTTAGGAAAATCTTAACTGAAGATCTTGACATGAGGAAGGTATGTGCAAAAATGATCCCAAGGGAACTCAGCAAAGAACAGTGTGTGAGGGACTTTTTAGTTAGTAAACAAATAACTGTGCTGGAACACCCTCCCTATTCACCGGATCTAGCCCCCGACAACTTTTTCTGTTCATGAAGATAAAGGGAATACATGTAGTGAAAGAAAGGCATATTGATGACACTGATTACATCAAGAGTAATATGATGGCAGCTCTGAAAGCAATCCCACAAAACCAGTTCAAAACTGTTCTGAAGGGTGGACTAGGCGCTAGCATCAGTGCATAGCTTCTCAAGGGGAGTACTTGGAGACCACAGTGATATTCAACAATGAGGTACGTAGCAATTTTACATGATGAGTTCGCGAACTTTATTGTCAGACTATGTATGTCTTGCTCATAGTGTGTACGATTCACATTTGGAACTTGTCTTCTACATGTTCAATGTAATTTTTACCTACAGGCAACAAACTTCATAAAATCAGACATAAGAAGAAAAGTACTTCACCAAGTGGGTAATGGAAGGGGCAAAAAATACACCATAGTGTGCAGTGGCATAGGTAAAGAAATCTTTTTCATAGTTACTGACTATGTAAATCAAAAAGTTTGTCCATATAAACTTACATAATGAAAATTTCTATTAAAAATCTTTAGTTCCCCAGTCTTAAAGTTAAAAAGACTGACCAACATTGGTATGGAACTACTGTAAAAGTTCCCACCTTTGTGTGTGTGTATGCATATAATGTATATTGGTGTCCAAGCTTCAATGCTAACATTATTAGTTCTGCTAACACTTAAAAATAGGAAGTGTTGCTTTCAAGGTTCAATGGTGTTCCATATATTGGCAGGAGAAGTCACCAGACAATGCATCTCCTCCATCACAGGCACAATTAGAAAAGACATGATAAAGACCAGGGTTGAGGGGAGAGGCGAATGCATTATATTTGAAGCTACCACATAGCCAAATGAGAAATATTAACACACTTCAGCTGCTTGTATGCTTGCAGAGTGCACAGCAAGAATGCAGAACACTTCTGAGAAAGTCACACTCTGCCAGTAATATATATGTATATAAGTAAAATGGTAAATTGCTCTCTCATCTATGCATTACACTGTGAAGGGTACTATATTTACTTGACTTTAAGACAATCCACACCTGCCTAATGGGAAACATTAAGAAAAAAATATTATTTATCCAAATTCTTAGGTACAATTCTCCATCACAAACCAAATAGTTTCCTTTACTACCTCTTCTGAGTGGTCCAGTTTAGGTCCCTAGAATACAACCTTTACGGAAACTGCAGCCAGAAACGGTCTTCTACACTGTACAAAGACTTAAAAAAAGTACATTCTCTCAATGTTGTACATCTTATTAGTATCTTCAGAGTACCAAAAAACCATTAACTCAAAATTGGCATTATATGCAGTTTCAAGGAATAGTCCCTCTTATTTCTGTGGCCTCACATAATCACATCATGTGATTACAATTACTGTGTTTCAAGACATTATCCATCATCCTATTTCTTATTTAAAACACACAACATTTCAAAGACTGGCTTCTGTCTCAGCCTTCACGTGAAACCTACTCAGCTGTGCCAAATCTCCAGACACCAGCACCAAAGCAAGATACAATATATAAACCAAGTACAGCATAAACCATCTGTGACAGTTAAGATAACTGTTATAAAAACATTAAAAAAACTCCTCACACATGAGGTTCAGCATCTATGTCCATGCACTGTTTCATGGATACTGTTGTTAAAATCAGAGTACTATCAGAAGAGAAGTTAACATTAAAGAAACAAATTATCTGTATGGTACCAACATAAAAACACAATTCACACATAATATACATGGGACAGAGCTGTAATTTCTGACTTCTGCTGCAATACTGGAAGTCCAGATGGGAGAAATGTCCATGCTGGGTTGACTGATCGGATGATTTGCCAGAGACATGTGAGTAGATTCCTTAATTTCCTGCAGGTGGTGTCTGGTTCAATCTGCAGAACCTTCGCTTTTTTCCAATAATTTTGTGGTCTCCTTCATACACATGTTGGACTAGCTTTGATTTTTCAAGCAGACCTTGGGTCAGGTTATATTTATGCTCCTTAATGCAAACTTCTTAAGGTCTATGCTTGTTTCACCAATTTCTGCCACGATCATGTAGGATATGGTGCACACACTGCTTCATCTGCTGGGCATCTCTAACTGCTGCCAGTTTTCATCACTGTCCCTTGGAGTGTATGTTTAGTTTTGAAAACGTTCCTGAAACTGAAATGGTTTCCAATGCATCTGAATTTTTTTCAGAGATACCCTTAACACCTGGGATAATGACTGTGCCCTAGTATATTGTGTCTGAAGAATGACAGTTGCTTCTTGGTGGCTTCATTATGGAGTCAACAAATTCTTATGGGTATTCATTAAGCATCAGATCATGTCTTACGTTCCTAATTTCCTTGCTAAAATCCTTCTGATCCTGAAATATGACCTTGGCTCTACTGATCAAACTATGAACCACCCTCCTTTCCATGTGATATGGGTAGGTTGACTTGAAGTTCAACAACAATAGCCGTGAAACAGTGCATCATGGACATGAGTGCTTACCCTCACATGCAGGGAGTTTTGTTTAATGTTTTTAATGGCTGGCTTAACTCTCATAAATGGTTTATATACCCTATCTTGTGTTGGTGCTGGTGTCTTGAGATAGGGACTAGCTCTATCGACCGGACCCAACTGAGAAGATTTCACCTGAAGACAGAGACAAATCCAGTCTCCAAAACGTTGCACATTTTAGATAAAAAAAAGAGGACAACGGATGTCCAGAAATACAATACCTGTATTAATTTAACATCATCACAAACTCTTAGGATCTTATTTACATCATGTGATTCATAATAACTTTTCAACAGGTTCAACTGTAATATCATAAACACATTTAAAAAAATCAACTCTTGAAACAATTAACATGATGTATACATATTAAATATTAGCACTACTACCATATACACTGATGGTGATCTTTCATGCTATTTCCAAATTAGATGGAAGCCATTAATTTCTATTGTTTTTAATTGACAGAAATTTAAATTTGCATTATGTTAATCACGAATGAAGTCAGATATCGTAACAGTGTACGGCAGTGTTACACACTTAGAATACATTGTTCCTCAGGAATTCTCTTCAGTTTCACTGGTGACAGCCAGTTGGTTGTTTGACAGTACTGGGAATGAAAGCATTAGTCTCATGGCCAGGGTTTCAAAGCTGACACCCTAAAACGTAATACGAACCATATGTGTCGGGTTGGAACATTTTTTGTAACATCACAGTGACCAGGCAATGTCTCTGCTGCAGCCACTGGAAGACACAGCTCGGGAAGGTTCGGGCATGTTTGATGTCTGCTCCTGTAAGATATGTAGCTGGCTGATCACAGTACAATTTAGTTTAATAAACAGCACACAAAAGTATTGAGTTCTTGAATAAATAACCATTCAAGATCAAATCCAGACTCCTTCGACGTTCTCCGAGGATCAACTTCCGCCCATGTTAGTTAAACCTGAGTCTCTCAGTGAGATGCAGTGTCAATATGCCTTACAACACTTTTACAATCACCACAAAATGTGTCCATGCATCTACAAACTATGCAAGATCTGGCTTAACTGTGATGTTCCACTTCCACAATCACTCTCTTTGGTTAACACGAAGAAGATGCTGGAAATGCAGGATGATGTCTGCTGGATACTGTAGAGCCTGTAGTTATATGGTGATAGCTCCAAAATTACAGAACTGAATGAACCGTGTGTCAGCATTCCAGTAATGATAATTACAATACATGGATTACCATTGTGGAAATATCCACATATTTCTACTATATATCTTATTTATCAGGAAAAAAGGCACTGTACAAAACATATGGCAATGAATGCTAGGTAGCAGTGTCTTGTTTCATTGTCACCAATTTGCTGCAAGCAAGTTTAGTGACTGCAACTTACTGCTACAGTCACTAAGGTTGTAGCAATTTCACATTTTGTCAGACAGTTTACAAACACCAGATGTGAAGAGTGAACTGGACATAAGTATGCCAAAGTTTAATATTCAGCCCTTTTTATATGTCTGCCTGTGCACCATCCACATGGCACAACTATTGTGGGATGGAGATTTAATTTTCATGCCTTTCCTGCAGAACTAATACTATATTTAAATGTGGGTGTCAAGAAGTATCAGAATTATTGAATGTGTATTTTCCCAGGCGCAATGATGTTACACCGCAACAGTGGTAGCTGTCATGTAACTGGCTTTCTAAGGAGTCCGTGCCACAACCGCTGCGATGAATCACTTGGTAAACATGTTCCAACAATATAGGCTGTTTTCTGCATGGTCAGTGTGGAAGCTATATAATGACAGATACAGACAGAACAGATTTCAGTATCTTGGAGTATTTGAGCATGTTTAAGTGACAGCCACGGGAAGTTCATCGTGTGAAAACTTGGCATGTGATTGAAACACTTTAATTACGTGTAATACTTGGAGTGATTTGAAGATCCAGTTTCTGCATGGAGATCCATTGCTAGACGACTAGTGGAAGACAGAGAATCCTAGTGCATGTGCAATGGTGAACTAGAAAGTGCGTAAATCAGCAGCGGCACTATATTGCATGTATTAGAATGTAATTAAAAGAGTGTGTAACCAAGTGCTAATAAATCCAATCATCCGAATTAGAACCCGTCATTTCATCACGCGTACCCCGCTACACATGACAATATTTTTCTTCAATTGGAGATATAAAAAATCTTTGTCCTATAGTCAGTTAAAGAGTACAGAGGTCGTATAGAATTTCATGCATTCTCAACTTCAGCAGCAGGTGGAAGTAAACGGTCTGTTTCCTACTGAACCTGTCCCCACCCCCAGAAAAAGTCTGTGATGTATCCATTGGGTTCCTACCAAGAGCTGCTCTAAACATGGCAGTGAAGAGAAAGTTATCATCACTTCTGAGAATCAAGCCCCAACCATCATTTTCATTCATCAGTAATACAACAGTAATTCACTTTACTGACAAAATTATTATAGTTTTCAATTCATGCTTATGTAAGTACTCCTCTCAAATCTTTCTATAACTTTTGCATATTACAATGACCTTGTACTCAAGTTACTGGATAAGTAACCTGTCCTTCACATGTTGAGTTTCAATTGCTACAGGACACATGACACACAATGGAAGACATATGAACAGGTGCAGGGTAGAGTTAACAATGTGTGTTAGACCAACTTATTGCTTAAAGAATCAATACTGTATCTAAAAATATAAATATAAAAAAGGAACCCAAACAAGTGAAAATATGATCAATGAGTTGTGCTGTTCTTACATATGGGGTTCAGTCTTCTTTGGTCTGATACCTATCAGCAATGTGGTGGAGCATGTATTCGAGTGCTGATGAGGTGGTGGTGGCAAACAGTTGGCGCCACATGTATTCATGGAGAAGTATACTTCCTTTAGGCTTCTGTAACTCTTGTACTTCTTCACATACCTCTACAGCTGACTGCCATATGGTTTCTGCATACCAGGGAAACAAGTACCACAGTTATAAAGGAGAAATGTACACCAATGGTTCTTAGAATCTACACTCTCATTATAAGCGCAGTAGCTATTTAACAAAATCAATGAGGTGGATTGGCCTTCAAAAGTTGACAGTTACTCAGCTAGTCAGAGGATCCTTGTTTTATGGAACCTGAACACAGACTATCATGTCCACAGAAACCTATTCCAAGACATTTAAACTCAGTTCATACTCACATCATCTTCCATCTACACTTACTTTTCCCTTCACGTTTTCAAAGTAAAATTTTATGTGCAATTCTAATGTCCTCCATGAATACTACATGTCCATCCCATCCTCATTTTAATCTTTCTTACAACAGCAGATGAAATACTGGGAAACTCTTTTTGTAATAGGGTGTGTGACTTATGTAATAAAATCGAAAAGGAACTGTGTGGTGGCCAATTTGCTCTTTCATTGTCACCACAAACTGGTTAAGTAGTTCTCACATGAAATTTAATAAATAAAGGTAATGAACTCCAAATTATGTTCTCTGACCTGTCTCAGGCATTCGAACTGAAACATTTAGTCTCCCACTTGGTAGCACAGATACTTGGGTATTGTTCAAGATCTCTAAATTCAGGACTGGAACATGGAACCAACAACCAACAACGTGAATTAATCATCTGAATATAATTTATATAAGTACAATAAGAAGCTTGTACTCTTCTCCAAGTATAACTAGAATGATAAAGTGAAGGAGGATGAGATTGGCAGGGCATGTAGCATAAATGGGCGCGAGGAGGGATGCATGTTGGATATTGGTGGGAAAGCCGGACAGAAGGAGACCACTGGGCAGACCAACACATGGGTGGGTGGACAATATTAAACTGGATCTTGAGAGAGATAGGATGTGATGGTATAGATTGGATTGATCTGGCTCAGGATAGGGACCAGTGGAGGGTTCTTGTGAACATGGTAATGAACCTCTGGGTTGTATAAAATGCTAGGAAGTTCTTCAGTAGCTGCACAATTGGCAGCTTCTCAAGAAGGGCTTAGCTCTATGAATGAATGTACATTAAGAATTTGAATATGTTGATACACTGTAATTTGTTCCAGCTTGTAAGACTCGAGGTTCTTGCAGTGGTGGCTACAGAGAGTTCTATCTTCTAGATATAATGCCATATAGACTGATGTTTTGGAGCTACATGTTGTCTCCACCTTCAGGGTTGAACAATTAGACAGGCAAGAAATCAAGATGAAACAGGTAGCAAGCAGAACCAGCCAGAGCTTTACTCACTGCCTGCTTCATGCTGGTGTCTTGCCTGGCCTGTTCTTTCAACCTGAAGCGAAATGTTTCTCAGAAATGCTGGTTGGCTTTCAATGGTCTAGACAGTATTATATCCCACAAGCCAGAACTCTCTTACTCTTACTTGTTAGGCCAGTTAATTCAGCTGCCCCTAATCCTTGGTCTGATATAATCCCCTAATACTGTGTTGATAATTCTCCCTCCTCCTTAACATACAATTCATTGGCCTGACTTCTGGTCCTAAATTCATCTAACAATTTAACTGTCTTCAGATTACTTCCTGACATGAACTTATGAACACAAAGCAGTCCTTTCTGTGGCTCTCAATGCTGGCTCAGTCAGAATAACAATCACTTGCTTACAATCAACATGAAGGTGCTTAGGAATTCATCAGCTTCTAGCTTCTAGCTTCTATGTTCTTCCGGCTTCTCATTCCACTTCTCGTTCAGGGCGAGGGATGAGGACCCTGCAGGCTGCCTGACATGGACAGTCCGCAGACATTGCAATCCAAAAATCGCCAGCCAAGATTATTATACATTCCCAGCTTCTATACTGAAAAGTAGCTGATGCTGCAAGTCTCCTTCTTATGCTGAGTAAATATCACATGCTGGCTTGACCTGCTTACAACTATTGTAATCTGTCTAGGTTTTATAAGTGATACTACCATGAAATGTACACTTATTAGGTCAACAATACTGCATTTCCTAAAAGATTCATGTTTTATTTCTCCCCCTTTCCAACCCACTAAAAAAAAAAAGGCATCTTAAACCAAAAATTTAAGCATTACTCAACACTCACCAAGGTTTTCCTGTATGCGCCTTGTGCCTGGAAGATCAAGTTCCATGAGTGTCTCTACACTGATCACACTTGGGTATCCAGGCAGTTCCTTAACCACATCAAAACAGCAACACAAGGCTCTGTCATTAGCAACTAATGTTGAACCTGGCCGTACCTGTCGCTGTACATACTTCACTGCCTCCTCCACCACACCTGGTTTAGGACTGCCAGGTTGGTCCTTCAAACATTAACAAGTGCTTGTGTGGTTTTTTTAATTATGAAACTATGCAGTTTTAAAGATGAATTTTGAGATGGATACTGATGTTTCAGAAGAACATGCAGCCTTCACCTTCATTTTAACCTGAGGATGATGGCAACATACTCCTCTGAAACCGTGATTTCCACAGAGTGACTGATAAGGTTCCCAGACTTAACTCCATAAGATTTCCTCTTTTGGAGATATATCGCACCAATACCTCAAAATTTCAATAAACTCAAAGGCAGAATCCAAGGTGCATGGGAATCAGTTACGTACAAACGTTGTGCAGTCTATGAAATGTGACTGACTGTCCTATTTTGATATGTGTACAGCAACCAATGGTTCTCATATTCAGAACATACAAAGAGCAACAAGAAGCTGTGTACATTGTTCATTATGTTCCAATACTTTACAGTGGTTACCTTAGGTCACTCTAAATTTTAATATGCTTGTAAGAAAAGAACTTCTGTAATGACCCTATATTACAGTAAGTAACATGGGGGGGAGAGAGAGAGAGAGAAATATTACCTGGATGATTCTTGCCCAGATACGTGCTGGCATGCAACTTGTGTCAGCAATACACAATATCTTTTTCTGAGTCTTCTTCTTGAGTCCATCCTTGTCAGGAGGAGTTGATGTCATGTACCCATCTGGGTACACATCAATTACCACTACAGCTCCATCCCCACCAAGCAGCCAGTCGTGGTAGTGGTCCAACACATATCTGCTTGCCACGTCCCCACACTGGTCATATACTTTCTTAACTATGTGCGTTTTCAAATCTGCAATGTCAAAAAAAATATGTTGTGCCTCTTGCCTCTTATATCAAGCAAGTGAACATCCAAGTACTCATAATCAACGAGGTTCTCAGAGCTGTGACTATGGAGAGAACTGTTTCCTGGAATGTGGCATTGTGTACTTTGATAGATCACTGCCAATGTTTCAGAGGATTCTGCAGCCTCTATCCACAAGGAAGACGAGTACTTTCAGCATCATTTCCCTGAAGACAATTAACTTCAAACTTTCATTTAACTCTCCAAGCATATGTATAAAAAAATAACATCAAAGGGCTGCATGTCCTGTTTTATTCCTGGGTTATTCAATGACATTTTCAACTGTTTATAGAGCACAGCATGACAAGATGATACTGAAAAATGAATTGGTAGGGATGTGGAAGGAAGTCATCATGACTTATGTGAGGTACTATACCATTATTTACTGAGGAACAAAGCAAAAAACTTCATCAGGATAGATAGTCTTGAGCTGAGATATGAGCCTGGAACCACCAAACACACTGCAAGAGTGCTAAAAACTTTATTTCAGCATCCACTGCATATCCTGCTGTTTTACGCTGGTGTGAAAGTTGGTCTCTCACTCTAAGGGGGGATCTGCACTGAAGGTACGTACCATGTGGCACAATACTTAACATGACAAACTAGTGCAACTCTGCTGCCAAGAAAATCTCTGGATATGAAGAGATTACTGTAAAACTGGTGAAACCGTAAAAACCCAACAACAAATTCCTGACAGATTCATATGTTGTGACAACTATATGTAGCTCACTACACAGACTTCGCCACTTCCAAAACTACTCTCTTTCATAAAGGTTTCCGAATGTCTTCTGCTTGGTTTTTTAAATATGGATTTTAGATATCAGAGTCCCATTGGGTCAGGCCTAAATAATAATAATAAATATCAATATTTTTATTTCTATGGTTTGTGCTCTTTCAAGTGGTTGAACACATTTCTACGGTTCATGGTATGATTCCTTAGACATCGGATATACCTCATGAAGCTGCAAACCTGATGCATCTTTTCTGCAACGTAAGGTTGGACCCAGTGCTTCTTTTCATGTGTCTCCTCCTAATTTAATACTTATTTGCAACAGCTAATAAATCGTAGATTCTAAAGCATTCTGACGATGGTGGATGACACACAAAATTATTGGGGTTTTGGACTTTTTCCAGACGATGGAAAAAGTCCAAAAACCCCAGTAATTCTGTGCAGCTAATAAGTCCTCACAAAACGTGTCAATATTCAGATACCTCGGAATCACGGCAGCAAATGAAAGTAAAATTTAAAATGAAAAGAAGTGAAGATTAAACTCAGAATACTTCTTACCATTCCGATCAGAAAATTCAATTTTTTGCATTCCATTTAAATCTATAACAATGAAAATATTATTTTACCTATTGTTTCACTGGGATGTGAAACTCAGCCTCACATTAAGGGAAGAACACAAATTAAGGGTGTTTTAAGAATGGACGATGAGGTGAATATTTTCACTAAAGAGGAGTAGGAAGTAACAGATGGGAGGAGAAAATTGAACTATGAAAACATTCACAATTTGTATTTTTCACCAAAGATTATTAGGGTGAATGCAGAGAGAATGAGATGGGAAGGACATATAGTAAATATCATACAAAAGTTTAGCCTGAAACCTACAAGGAAGAAATGACTTGTGGGACCTCACTATACACGAGAAGAACTTTCAAGTTCAATAAGAAACAGGGAATTTCTTGGCTAGCTGCATGATTATTAGCTTCACAAGTAGCCTGCTCCACAGAATTAGTTAATTAGTCAGCAAGAATGAACACCATGAAATCCTTATTGGATGGAACCATTTGCATACTAATTGCAAACATGTCTGTATCTTTGGTGTAGTTCCTAACAGATGAACATGTCTGAGAACACACTACTGAACATAGGAAATAATGGGAGGATAGAAATTTTATGAATTGCTTCATAATTTGCATTGTGCATCAAGTTCTGATACACCAGCTTGATCATGGAGGATGAGAATGGGATGGGAACCAGTTGTAAGTACAGTAGAACTTGGTTATAACGTCATCAAAGGGATCTAAAAATAGTGTCGTTATAAACGAATGTCGTTGTAACCGAAATGGGCACTTCCACAGTAGCCTTATGTTAGTCACGTAAAAATCTACCAAAAACCGAGTTAAAATGTTGCATTTTTTAGTGAAATACGTAGTTAAGTACAGACTAACGTAACATTAACGTGGAATTGCCCAAATGTGTAATATCAAAGACATATTACAGCGCTTTTCACTGACAATACACACCGCACTAATACTGTATATTAAAGGTAGGCTGACTCACCAAATTACAGTAGATTACATCAATTGTTGTGCCTTACTGTACCTAGATACGAGTACAGTAATCAGTTATCTTCATCTGTTTCCTGTTACTTGCCCAATATACACTTTCTAAATTATGTTCAATGACCATATCAGAGAAATTCAGGAATGAAAATGACGTTACATGCGAGGTTGATGCATTTGTGCATGTTGTACTAAGCAAGGTATAAAAACAGTTGCTTTATGAGGAATTAGTTCATACCATTGAATATTTGACGCAATAGGCAAGGTGTCGCAGAAACCGATGTTGCTATAACCAAGTTTTACTGTATTTTGGAAGTAAAATTTTCCATCAGTTCATATCCTAAGGAGATGAATTAAAGCCCATATCCTCACATGACATTATTTTCAGACTCATTTTAATGTTATCCTCCAATCTGCATCTATCTCTCCCAGACTGTATCTTCGTTTCATGCTTTCTGGCTGAAATCCTGTATGAATTTCTTATCATTCCCATGTGTGACTGAGTATACGCTTTAGATTTTATACTTACTCAAATTATTTGCTGCAACTTCCACCGGCATTCTCTCACACCAACTTAATATTGCTTGAATGACAACTTTCAGCTCACATTTTACAGGCATGAAAAATGAGCCATCACGAATAGAAACTTTCTTGGGACAGGCAGTACAAGACCAGTTGTATTTGTCAACCACTCTGGCCTTACTCCATTCCATTTTGCCTCCTTTGCAATTTGAGTTGGAGCACTTCAATCCTCGCCTCAAGAGCCCCATCTGTTTCAACCATTCACATAATTCTCCCTCATGTCCAGCATTTAACATAGGCCGTATCACCATGTGAAAATATTCACACTCTCTGGAAATAAAGAAATATATGACAACATACCAGTGTAATCATTCGTATCAGGGATCCTCAGCATATCCATTTTACGGGAAATTTATCATTTCAAATACCTGTAACTTCATCTTGTGAAGAGTCTGTAATTTTGCTTTGTGCAGAACAAACTTCTTGGCTGCTTTTTACTATAAAATATAGGTGGCACTCATTTTACAAACACCTGATTTACAAATTTTGGCTATAATGAACTATATTAATTTGTACCCAATTTACTTACTTAATTTAAATTTTGCTACAATGAACAACTAATGTTAATGAGTTTGGCGATTATTAAAAGTAAAGTAATGGGAATGCCATTTAAGATTTCTGAATTTTCCACCTTAGTCAGGTTTTATGGAACAAATTACCTATACAAATCAAGGGAAACCTGCACTGTGATATCCTGCTTCAAAAAAAGGTTACTGTTTTCTAGAATGTCTAGCCTAAAGACGGTGGCAGTGGTTTCCTCTGAAAAGCTGGTAATTATTTATCACACCTCATGGTGTCATATTCTAGAACACAATATTCTTCACAGTCACCACTATAAAAGGTAAAGTCCCTGTGCTTAACTAATTAAGCACTACACCATGAAGTCATATGGGGAAATGGATGTACAGATCCACATTTTCTTGACCTCTTTTCAAAGACTACCGCAGTTATCATCTTAGGAATCAAGTCGAAGTCACAAGAGCTTAAGTCCGGGGAGTATGGTGGATGGTACAGCACTTCCCAGCCCCATCGATCGAACAAATCAGCTACAGCTTGCGCTGCATGCGACCAAGCACTGTCCTGCAAAATGATGGGTGGGTTCTGCAGAAAGTGTCACTGCTTCTTTCTCAAAGCTGGTCGCAGGTTGTGTTCCAAAAATGAACAGTAATACTGCACACTGACAGTCTGCTGTCGGGGAATGGTATGCGTTAGGATAACACCATCACAGTCGTACATGAGAATCACCATAACTTTCACATTTCTGGGGTTCTGACAAACTTTTAATTTTCGTGGTGACCTGTAATGATGCCATTTGTTGGATTTGTGTTTCATTTGTGGCTCGTACAATTTGGCCCCTGTCTCATCCAGCGTAATGATATGGTGTAAGAAAGCCTCTCGTTCGTGCAGCGAGCAGCGTCATATCATAGCCATTTTTGCATTTCCATCAAATCATGTTGAACCCATCGTGATGTAATTTTTCTCATGCCCAGGCGTTCCTTCAGAACGTGAAGCACAGTCGTATGCTCTAATCCTGTCTTGTGCCAGCTCACAAATCATATGGCATCGATCACTCTCCAGTAACGCGGAAAGAGCATACACTTCTTCTTCACTGACACTAGGATGACCTGGCCGACACATGTCTACCACATTTTGGCATCTCTCGTTGAAGATTTTTACCCACCTTGCCACTGTTCTGTCAATGCAGATTCCCTGCAAGCCTCTTGAAGACCTTGATGACACTGTCATGCTGTACGGCCTCTGGCACATTCAATCTTTATCCAACTCTGTTGTTCTTGTTTCAAAAACATTGTGACAACACTACATTAGACCACCAGCTGACACGAGGCTGTTCTTCTCGTCACTGCGCATGGGTGTGATGTGGGGAGAGAGAGTCCATTTGCTCTGAGGTAAGGTAGGTATGTAACTAACGTGTGGTATAAGCGACATTATTTGGTTCGGTTGCATGGTGTCTCTACAACAGTGTTGCCACTATTAAAGTTCCAACCCTCATACATAATGTTCTTATAAAGCCATAACAAAATTTACAACTGCAGCTAAATTTTTCAGAAGCACCTATGTTAAATTGAGCCAACTTGCAAAAACTGTGCATGGACATAGCTATATTTTAAATACTTCTTGAACCCAGCAATGAACCTTCAGGTTCCATAAAATATTGGGAAATTCTTGGGTAGCTGAGTAACTGGCAACTTCTCAAAAAAGACTCAGCTCCATGGAGTTAGTTAGAAGTAGGTGACCCCCTTACAGTAGGTCACAACCCATAGTTCCAGAAACCACACAAAAAGAAACATGAACTATTAAACTGGCTTGAACCTAAATTTTGTGGGTAATATTTCGTCCACAACAGGTGTAATAACTTTACTGCCAAAACATAGTCACCAGAACATTTTTATGAGAAATGGGTCAAATCAGAAGCTGGCATTTGTGTAAAATTATTCCCTGAATGTCTAGGTGACAAAATACATGTGGCCTAGTTCAGTGTATGAACAGGGGTGGCACAATTCACAATCAATATGGCACTTCTCCATATCAATTCATCATTCAACTACTAGAACAGAAGGAAATCACAGAAAATCTACAGATTTTTTTTATGTGTCTCATTTAAGTTTCTGCTATACTCCGCTGGGATTTACGGAAAGCAGAACACATATTTAGAGCCGAGAGTTACATAAACATTTGCCCTACTGTAATCTAAAATTTTGAATTGGCGTCATGTTAAAGTAAACAGGGGTTAAAAAGTAGGCCAATGATATCCGTAACAATCAGTGAAAATTCCGAAATCAAACATAAACAACAAATTTCCTCCTGGAATGAAACCACGAATACAACACAAACTATGTCTATGAAAATGCAATAGATTCTAAAATGGGGCAAATATTGCCTTATGGTCACGTCATTTTGGAGTCGTCGGAAGTAACTGACGTAACACTGGTAGAAATGACCAGACCTTTATATTTACAAAAGTCGGGTGTTCAGAACTCCAAGCCAATCTACTACCTGCGTACATGAGTAGAAACCAGAAAATATAATAATAGCTACGACTTCCGTGTTCTTAACAATAAGGCCATGACATTCTCTTGTTTTGGTTCATTTTACCTTGTCTCCGCTTCTTTTGATGAAGCAGGATGTTCCGTGCTAGAAGTTTCGGCTATTTCCCCATTCATGTTGCAGTTTTCAGGAAATTATAAAGTTATAAATATTTTCACTGAGAAGAAAATAAATAAAGAAACAAATGTCTATGTAACAAAATTAAATAACTAAGTCGCCATTATTGTTACTTTAGTACAGTGCGGTAAGAATTTGAACTACGAATATAAGCGTGAATAGGGGAGATCTGTCGATACCCCATGCGATCGATATTAAATCCTGGTGAACGAAGAAATAGGCGGCAAATATAAAAGTTAACAAGACCGTAATATGACGGGTGCTATCTTTCAGGATATGGTACAGTATAGATCGGTTAGGTTCACAGGCGTTCCGAAGAAATATACTGCCTCTGCCATCAGGGTTGAGGAGTAATCCAAGTAAGTAACATGCAAGAAGCAGCTCTACATTCTCTTTCTTGCTGCTTATTTCCTTGGTTTACATTTCAGCCTCAAATATGAAGGTAGTGTGTTCATCCGAAACGTCGATGAACCTCTAGTAAGCTCAGAAGGTAACCAACAATAAGTAGACTCTGCTTCTTGTTGTTACTTGCTTAGCTTAATTCTATCTGAAGATTAGGCAGTCTGTTTCCCCTAAACGCAAGTAAACTTCTGCAGGACTATGCAGTGTCACAGCTCAGGAGACAGCATTTTTCAGTCACCTCTTTACAAACCTTAAATCCCAAAAGGCCAATTACTCAGTGTATGTTTATTTGACAAATGGAATTTTAAACGAAATAATTAAGACTACAATGAATTCGCCCCTTATAACAAAGAAACATGAAATTCATATGCATGTATTCACTATGTGATGACATCAAATCCTTGAGGAGTCAAAATTATATAGGTCTAAATAATAAACAAAGAGTATTAAGGCTTTTTTATTACTACTACATTTCCTAAACGAAAATTATATATATATTCTTTAATATATGATTCAAAGTCATATCAAAATATAAATATCTACATGCAGAGGAGCAGATTTTTCAGCATCTCCTATAATCTTCGAAGTGTAACTACTTCATTCCAAACGTTAACAGCCATCAGACTCTCTGACTGAGCAGAAAAATTCACATCTGCCTTGCAGGCAGAAGTGCAATGATCATCATGAACTGGACACATTAATACCTGTGGCATTCTTAAATTCGTTTTGCTTTTCATCAGACCGTTCACCAGTTAATGACTGTATACATAACGTGTATGGGGCACGCGGTGGCGTAGGTGGTTGAGGGGCTATGCTACAAACCAGAAGGTCGCGTGTTCAAGTCCCAATGAGGTCATTGGATTTTTTCAATTGACCTGATCCTTCCAGCCACACTAGGCCCTGTGGTCGACTCAGCCTCTAACAGATGTGAGTACCAGGAATTAATTAAATAATTTTCCTGGGGAGTAAAGTGTGGGCGGTGCATAAGGCTGACAACCTTAGCGCCATCTTTTAGCCAATTGTCTAGATAATGTGGGAGCCTCAATGTCTCACAACCCTATGGGCCTTCATGGCCTGTTACAGGGATAGCTTTACTTTTACTTTTTATACATAACATGTATCCCTCTAAGCTCCTTTACAAAACAAGGGAACAAACAAGAGATGATGCATTGCCAACCATCAACAAACTTAATCTGGGACACCTTCAAGAAAGCATTCTGAAGAGGGGATGTAGCTGCCTTAGGGCTTGATAATTTAGTGGAATCACAGTGCAGCTGCTGGAAGCCTACCTAAGTTCACCTCCTGCAAGCATTTATTCTGAGGGTCACCATCATCAATAGTTAACAATAATAATTCAATTAATATATTAGAATGCTTGCCAATAGCAGTTGCCTCTTACAAGCAAAATAAATAAAAAAGCACTTAAAAATGAATAAAAGGAAATGTATCCTCCACAGAAACTGCTTTCCTATTAAAAAATCAATAGGTAGTATAGTTGGTTGAATTTGATTTTTTTTCAATTTATCTAGTTCTTCCAGTCACAGTGGGGCACTTGGGTCAACTCCACCTCTAACAGCAATGTGCAACAGGATCTTCCTGGGGGTAAATAGTGGCTGGTGCATTAGTGTAACAATCTCAGCTGTGCAGAAAATGTGGGAGCCTCAACATCTTACAACTCCACAGCCTGTTAAAGGGAGAGCTTTGCCTTTTTAACTTTTTTTTTAACGTGTCAAAATCTTTAGCATAAGAACGCTCTAACCGCTCTGCAATTTACCCACAGATTGCATTCGTGTTTCATACGACTCTCAGAATAAACAGTGATCATTGCTCTAAAAAGCATTAACTGAGTGACCGTGAAGGCCAGTGTCTCCTGTTGCATACAAACTAAATTTTTATATAATATTTAGAAGAAATTAATATTCCAAAGGGTTAATATATAATTTTCATCAACAGATTGCTGGAGATGTGTCATTCCTGTACATAAGCTCTCCTCAAAATGTCTAACATTACATTGTACTTGCACAGTGCCTGAAAAGTGATTAAAAATGCAAAAATGTTAGAACTGTATGCAGAGTTTAATAACTATAGCACGTTTGTTCTCTTTGGTTTAATTATCTAAAAAACCAAAAGACAGAGAAAAAGGGTACAGGACAGAAATGTATGTTTTATTGTTCTCTATAAATTTTGTTCCAAACACTTTAAATATTTAGTGAGCTCCATTTAAGATTCATCCAGAAAATGTGCATAGGTTCTCACGTATAGGTGTCTGTTAGTTTTCTGATTTTAACACCAGAATGTGCTGACAAATTTAATGAAAATCAATTCAGCGGTCTCAAGTTGTTACATGCTGACAGACATAATGAAGCTAACAGGCATATTTTCTAACTTAACCACTGAGAACATACTAAATATGTTTACATAACAAAATATATGGATAACAGGGAAATAGAAAGGAGAGCAGCAGGCTGGATTGAAGAACAAGAGGAGAATAAAGTCATACAACAAGAACACTGTGGTTCTGTGCTTAACAACTTTAATTAATTTCATATATAAAATGGGTAACTTGATATGGCAAGTGAAGCATAACAATTACAACAAATTAACGTATTCTTTGGACACCACATCTTTCCCAGTTTGTACCATGTTATGTAATACGACAAACCAAGTCAAAAATAAACATATCCATGTCTTGGTATGGAATGTGCAAATATCAATTGTCAATTCAAAGCAAAAAGTAGAAAAACTGTCTATTATACTAAAGGAAAAGACATCACACACAGACAGTTGCCTAATTCCCACCCTCACAGAAATGGGCATGCTTCTTTCTCATTACCACCTTTCAATTGCATGTTACCAAGGATGCTAAATAGGAATGTCTTGTTACTACCAGAAGGTGGTACAGCTGACTTAACCGTTTTCTCTTCGCCTTCATGCTCCAGGTCCATATTACCATATGCATAAAGCTCTATCATCATTAATTAGGTGAACATGTACTCACGAACTACTTGTCACATTGTGTGGCTTCACATTTCAGGATGAGGCTGTGCTGCACATTGAGTCTTTTAACTTTTTAGCAAATCCTGCAGTTGCCATCTTCTGGATTAATATATTTCGCAGGGGGTTTGATAGCTCTTATATAGCTCTAACATTAGTCATTGTGTAAGGGGTGAAGCTGTGATTGGGTAAACAGAGAGGGTGATGCTAACTTAGGGAGTGACCACATGGCAAGTGAAAAGAGGCAATGAAAAATGTTCTGGTGACCAAGAGGTAAAGAATATTTTTCACTGTCTTTTCATTAATCACATGGTAACTGAAAAATTTCATTACCTCTTTTCATGACCGCTATCTACCGGTTAGTATCCTGCTCCTCTCTTCATCCATTCACCAAACAAACTGCTAACGCTGCCAAAAGTACACCCAAAGTCATACCTTCAAGTTGGAAACTGCAAGATTTGTCAAAACACTCGAAAATCCTGCTCATTCAACATGGAATAGTTCTGAAATCCAAAGTCACACATTAAGCTCCAGTCACAACAGCCTAACGACTAGAACTATTTGTCACGTTAGTCTTAATGTAACCTGTAATTAAGTGTATACAAAATGTAACAGTTCCAGTCCATATTCTCTGCTACTGCTGTAGATTCACTTGTAAATGCAAACTTCTGATGCTCTCATACAATTAGCATACAACAGATAGAGAGCACAGGCAAGGATCACCAATACAAAATATGGTAAAAGTTAATCCAACCATTAAAACAGAATTTAAACACCATTACATTTACTAATGCCACCACATTTAGGCATATTTGCTTTGAAGATAAATCAAAATTAACTTAAGGTGTTAAAACTCTAATTGTAACAGAATACATCACTTCAAGAATATTACAGTTAAATTTCTTTTGGAGTGTACAATTCCTGTGCTCTGAAGTAAACGCATCTCTTTTCAATTAGTAATTCAAATTTAAAATTTGAAGAGACACCATAAAACAGCAGTACACTGTTACAGCTAACAAGAAAATCTATGGCAAGTCAAAATGCAAGCAGCAGCACTGATGTGGGGAGATAAGTTAAACGAAACCTCACAACAACTTAAAATCAGATTAAAAATACTCAGTGAATATAAAAAGGAGTAATTTGCTACTTGTACAGTTATTTTAGGAATGTCTCATAAAATACAGCCTTGCCCACAAACTGTGCATTAATGTTTCACTATGCATCCTCTGAGAGAATACAAGTTCAAAAAGAAAAGAAACTGATCACAACTTAAGTTTTATATGTGCTGAGGTTTTCAGAGTGGTGATTCTTCAGATTATGGTCTCCTGGGTTACAACTGTGTATAACCTTGTAGGCATATACCAGTGTTTTAGAGGAACATGTTGCCTCCATCTTCATGGTCAAAGTGTGTAGGATGAGCAAATGGTTGGGTTACACAGTTAGAGTGCTATGAAAGTGGTCACTCAGACCCACAGAAGACAGCGAGTAAATGGAGCCCAGTCTGGGTCAACAGAAATAATGTGGAAGAAAACAGCTCATTGCAGGCCATAACATTGCTTTTCATTACTGGAGGTATCTCTGATAAAAGACTGCCTTTTTTCAGAACCACAATATTGGTTTTCATTATAGGAGGGAAAAAGAACTGTGAAGAAATAAATAAATAAAAAAAAAAAAGACCGCCCTTTTCTGAATCTCTACAGATGGGAAGTAAGAAAACAGCCATCTTTCAACGGACCAGCTGAGAAGTCACAGGAGGGAGTAATTATCTAGTCCCTGGAAGGAAACTTTTGCCCTTTCTCCATGAAGTGTATAAAAGGCTTCCATGAAATGGAGCTCATGGAGAATGCACATATGCTGTTCATGTTGCTAGGGTGGCCTATTGGGCTCCATTTTCCCTCCCATGGGTCTGACTGACCACTTTGTTGCAACCTGCCTATATTACCTAACCAATTGCTCATCCCATGCACTTCAACATTGCAAGAGCAACACACTTCTCTGAAGTGTAAGTATCTGCCTGCAACACTATGCCAGAAGGCATATTTTTGTACATAATGAGCAGGATTCACAGTTGTTAGAATGGTATGGCCCTACTATATCAGTGTAGTTCAGATGGCTAAAATATCACACAACACAGGATGATCCACATGGATACAGATAAAAACAAAATACTGTGAAATATGAACTGTTCACTTTAATTGCTTTATATTTGGTGCATAAAGCCTACAAGAATGGGAGATTTTCTCCTCAATGTCAGCTCCCTTGCAGACACAACAGATTTCATAACAGGAGATCAGTTTTCTTACATCTCATTCAGCATCTCCAGTGTGATCTGCAAGCAAGCCCTGACAATCTTTACCTGAAGGATGCTGAATTTGATATGTCAACATTTTCAAGTACCTGTAGGCAATGTGCTGGCATGTTGTGTAAAAAAGTAAAGCTATCCCTGTACCAGGCCGTGAAGGCCCATAGGGTTGTGAGACGTTGAGGGTCCCACACTATCTAGACAATCGGCTCAAAGATGATGGTAAGGTTGTCAGTCTTACGCGCCAGCTGCGCTTTACTCCCCAGGAAAATTATTTAATTCCTGGTACTCATTTCTGTTAGAGGCTGAGTAAACCCCAGGACCTAGTGAGGCTGGAAGGATTAGGTCAACTGAAAAAAATCCAATGACCTCATCGGGACTTGAACCTGCGACCTTCCGGCTTGTTGCGTACAGTACAATAATTTCCTGGGACTCCTTGTCATTGCAGCATGACAAACAACTTCCATCTCTGGCTCCACCTCCAATGTGTGGTTTAATTGTGATCCGGTTGCTTAAAATGTGTGATACCACTTCATTATGTAATCAGACTTGAGACCCTTTGCCCATTAGTGACATGGAAAAACTCAACCTGCAACGACTTTTGCATACCACAGGATATAGTTTGCCTGCAAAGTATCACCATCTTTGCATCCCCCATGAAACACAAAATGCATTATACAGTATCACATAACACCCATGGTTTATGAACACACATTCAACAGACAACTGACGTATGATCTACTGGTTTCTTTTCATAAAGTTTTACATTTACCCATATCCAAATGGATCATCTGTGCATCTGCTTCTACTTAACCAATCTAGAAGCTAATTTTAACCCTGTTCAAATAATGTCATGGCATGCTTTACAAAATTAACAGATCACACTTCTTTTCTGGATGTTCCTAAGTTCATTTTCAAGACATACATATCATATTACAACAAATAACATTTCAAAACTTAGAGATTGCTAAGCATTGCCCATAGGATATAAGTTCTACAATTTCTGCAGAAACATCATATATGTTACAAAATACATAGAAGCACACCCTCAAGGATTCTTTGGGAACGAATGGATTTTAGAGTCAGAGTATGTAAAATTAAGTCTAAGATTTTGACTGTTACTTTAAAATTAAGTCAAAAGATGTCAGAATCTTTTACAATAATCAGGTCTCTGATGTGTGCCATGGAAATTGAAATTCTCTTACCTCAACTGACAGCCAGCTGTACCATAATACAAGGCAGAGATCATATGAAAACACAAAAATCTGTCATGTGACTGTGAAATGATTAATCACCCTATATTCACAACACTAGATACTCCATTGAATCTTTAAAATAAAGTTCTCATGGTGGTGCCTATGAAGGTTATGGTCTTCCAGGATGTAATGCCATGTAGTTCAGAGACAGCTCTGAACCGCATAGCATTACAACCCAGACCACGATATTCTTAAAGAAATGTTTCTTGCAAACAAACTACACAGTTAAATTTATTTTGGGCTCAATATCAGAAAAATATACAGTACATGTATACTTCATTTGGGATGGAGAAACTTTGCAATATGACTATCTCTGAATTTGTGTTCATTTTTTTTCAAGCAATGGCCAGAACACAAATGATTCTTATCTGTCACTTTCCAGACTATAAATAAGATATCTAATTCAAGAAATGTGGCAACATCTGCTCTGAAAGCCTTGGCTTTCTACAATATAAATGAAAATGAACTCTGTTGTCATTTGATGACTGCCAAGGTCCTCCATCCACAGAAGGAAAAAAGTGATAATGAAATACAAAGGTGGGGTAAAGGTAAAGCTGTCCCTGTGCTTAATTAGTTAAGCACTATGCCATGATCACATATGGGGAATCTGGTGCCTCTCTGCTTCCATGTTTTGATGTAAAAAAGGTAAAACTATCCCTGTAACAGGCTGTGAAGGCCCATAGGGTTGTGAGATGTCGAGGACCCCGCACTTTCTAGAAATTAAGCTAACAGATGGTCATGAAGTTGTCAATCTTACATGCTGGCCGACCTTTGCCCCCGGTAAGATTCCTGGTACTCATTTCTGTCAGGGGCTGAGTTGACACTAGGGCCATAATGTGGATGGGAGGATTATGTCAATTAAAAAATCCAGTGACTCATAGGAAATTGAACCCATGACCTTCGAGCCTGTAGCAGTCCCTCAACCAACTACGCTACTGAGTACCCACATGAAGTTAGAAATGCTCTAGTATTTGGAATAACATTTGCATTTCTCTAGCAAATTCACATTCAGAGACAGGTTATTTCAGTTTAAATCAGGGCTATCCAACTGTAAACCATTATACCTTAATTAACCACAGAATGTATCATAAAGAATATAATTTTACAATATTCTGATATAAATATCTCCCAGGTTAACAGAACTTAAAAATTAGCTGTGAAGATTTGCTAGATTTCACTGATACTGCATATGTTCATGGAATCATACCAATTTCCTACTTTTCTGTGTTATTGTGTCATGTGAAGTTCACTGAAAAACTTCACTCCACATACAGTTTTTAAACAAGTTTTGCTGTTATTCTTAAAAAGAAGGGAAACCACAGCTCATAAATGTGAGGAAGGAAAGGCTACTGTCATAGGCCACACAAAACTAACTGCTGTGTGGAAAGTTGGACATTCCTCATTTAAATAACAAAACAGCATGGCTTCCAATTTTAAATACTATACTTTACTTTGTGTTAATGTCTCTGTTGGGTCCAAATGGGGGGAGAGACACAAATGTCACGAGAACATTGGTAACAGATGAAGTTTCATACCAAATAGGCCCATTATTTTGTAAGACTGTTACTGGTAGATATACTGCAGTAAAGATACACCTACAATTTTTAATTTTAAAAGTAATTTACTTATATAACCACATTACAATGCTTGAATCTTAAAAATACACAAGGTGTGTGTTCAGTAACAAACATCACTGAAGCTGCTGCTAGATGTTAAATGTTGTCACAAATATAGGCTGAGCAGCAGGGCAGTCAGTCTCATCACAAGCACTGTTTCCAGCATGTGTGTCATATGCTGAATGGAAATCAAAAATCTGTAATCATGTCTATGGGAAGTGCTGACATTTTTACATGATGCCTGTAAATGAAAACACAGAACAGTGAACAGCACATAGTACACAACATTACCATCACTTCGACATTCACTAACATTACTTTCAGCTAGAATAGTTATTTAGACAGCCATATTTATGTGGCATTGCTTGTAACATAAGCCCATTAAAAACAGACCAAATTACGCAAAGACCACAATAAACCCCAAAATAAAGTGACCAAACAAATTATCTGCTCACAAAACGATTTTTCTTACCCACCTAAGGAGACAAGGAGACATAACATTTCTCAAACACCATTCCTGGAGGGGGGAGGGAGCCCTATTCTATAAAGAAAAAACAAGCAGATAAAATTAACAAAAATAAAAGAATGTTGATAATTTCTATCAGGAGAAGTGACCATAAGGGTTATGTCACTGAACAATTAATTACTATCTACTGCAGCCTCATCTTAATTTAGGATAGTTTGCTTGCGGACTGAAATCAAGGAGTTTGTTTGTTTTACAAATTGGCAAACCCTACAACAAATAATTAAAGAAACTGCAGATGAAACTATTGGTAAAATAGAAAGAAATTAATGGTATTGTGACATGATGCCTGAAGGCCGGAACAGTGGAACCACGAAAATAATCCTTCCTTTTATTATTATAGTCATATAAATCTGATTTTCTCGTAGAGTATAAATTATATTTCCGAAAATAGCACAACACCTCAAAAATATACAAAGTGGTAACAAACAAAATCTTAAATTCTTTAAAAATAGGCCTGCATGATGTTCTCCTATTTACACCTTTCATTAGGTGAAGTAACCTTTATGTACTATTATTTATTTATTATTTATTTTCTAGCCTACTTTCCTTATTTTGAATAAATAAAAGGAGGCTCATGAGATCACCTTGCTTTCTGTGTATCTAGTCTGTATCAGTGTCTGCATGTCTGTACATCGTGCACTAATATTTTAAGCATATGAGATCACCTTGCTGTCTGTGTTCCCCTTGCCCTAATTTTTTGTTTTCTATCCAGTTCATACTGTATAAAAGGAAAGTATGCAATTACATCTTCCCAGAGCTTCTTGTATATTAAACCAGTTAAATTTGATGGAATTACTATTCACTTAAATACTTTTATCAAGTAATGTGATAGATCCAGATATTTGCTACTAAGATATAACTTCATATGTATTTTATTATTTTAAATCAGGACAAAAAATATTTGGCTAAAACAAATATATTTGGATTTTTAAAGGGCTAAAATGAATACTGTGATTTTAGTCTGCAAGTGAACTATACAGACTGAGAGACTGCCTCTTGTCGGCAAAGTTTAGTGCCAACTTTTGTGGATAGAGGGTGTCACGTGATCAGCACAATGAATCCCCATGGCTGTTAATTTCAGTTTTCTGGACCGGAGCCGCTGTTTCCTTAAAATAGCTCCTCAGTTATCATCACAAGGCTGAGTGGACCCCGTTCCAGACTTCTCAGAAAAATCTGGCAACACCGGGAACCTCTGGATCTGTAGCCAGGAATGCTGACCACTAGACCAGAGAGGCGATAAAATGAATACTATTAAAGTTAATAGTTTTTTTTGATAAAAGTTATGGGCAGTAAAATCAGAGGGGTAGCACAAATCCGAGTTACACAACCATTCTTGAGAACACATTTATCATATCAAGTTGGCAGATAACCGTATTTGAAATACTCAGCAATTTTAACATGCAATTACACATAATAAATTCATTATGGTCCGCTTGCAACATAGTCCCAGGCTCACCCACTGTCAACACATTGCTGGCACAAAACTAGGGGTCCATCATGTTTTTGAAAATAAAAGATGCAATAGAAAGATTATGGTAATTTTAAATGAAGTCATGCGTTTATCAAATACTCACATCCCACCTAGCTATATATATATATATGCAAGTTAAACTCAAATATATAAACAAAATTAGTCTTTTTTACCTAACCAAAACGTGTTGCTTCATCTATATAGTCCAGAAGTCCTTGTAGACGTTTCTTGACCCGTTTCTGGTCATCTAATGTACAACCCAAGATGGCAGCCTCAAAATTTTTATCAGCAGTACCATGAGTATGTGGGGAGCAGGCATTCATAAAGGCAAGACATCGTGTTTTGGTTCCATCTGGGTCACTCTGCAGACTCTTCACCAAACCATCAATGAAACTGTTGACCTGGTGCAATGCATCTTCTTGTGTATTATCACGCGTTGTCTTCACTAGAATGTCTACTGTCAAACAGCGGTTAGCAATGTGTTCCACAGAGTGCAGCACATCATCACGTTCACCTTTAACGTAACATAAAAATATTTCATTCAATGCTCACGGCTATGAAGTGTAATCAAAATAAATTGCATTATGCATGGCACAGATGTCATTTAACCATTTACCCCATTAATTCATGCTAATTCTCATTTAAAATTGTGTACAAAACATATTACCTTAAACTTCAAAGAGCACAGGTTATACCATTTTAGTACAATAACTGGCTGCAGGAATGTGAAATGGTTGATTTTAGGGTTAGTAATTCAACTTCAGTGATGGATTACATGTATTTGACACATGACAACAGGTTAAGTTAGATCAATTAAATTACTGTAAATAAAACTGACATTTGGAGATATGTGGCCATCATATTGTAAAACTGTTCTTGAGCTGCAATTTCTATCAGTAGATTGGAATAACTAAACCCTTCATAAAACTGAAACAGAAAAAAAAAAAGCACTGTAAGGGTTGCTGATAAAGTGTGTAGGGAACTGACTGCATACACTGAAGTTTAACCTGTAATTCTTCCATCCCTTAAACAACACCAAACGATTTTGATATACTTATAAAATGTATGCATTTATCCCAAAATATATCATTATACTGTGAATGTTACAAACTACAAACAATAGTTCTAAAATATATTCAGCCACATATTTATCTAGTGTCATCAGATTTTTTAACCGACCTAATCCTTTGAGTCATACTATGGTCTTGGGGCTGGTTCAACCTCTAAGAAAAATGAATACCAGCTATCTTCCTCAGGGGTAAAGGGAGACTAGTGCATCAGGCTGACCTCACTGCCATCTCTGAGCCAACTATCTAGAAAATGTGGAAGTCTCTACGTCTCACAACCTTATGGGTATCCACGGCCTGTTACCTTCTTTGTTTACATACTGCATGTGAAAAGTTGCTCCCATATGACAACATGACTCAGACAAGTATCACTCCATCACTTTGGCCATCTGAAGGAAATACAAAAATGGACGCGAAACGAATTTCGGAAGTGCCCACAAAGTGCTGTACTTACTATCTCCTAGATCTATCATAATTTCCGAATTCCGAAGGGAGTCCAGGGTAGCTAGAAGTCTGTCTTTCTCTTCTTCCAGTTTCATTGCATCTCTTCGTAGCCGTTCGACATGCATTTCAACTTCATCCAATAAATTTACTAATCTAGTTTTTGGCGATTTCTGTTGGCTACCTTCATTTGGTTCAATAATTTGAGGTAAACGAGCTTCGCTACCTGCATCACCACCACCCTGCCACTCCATCGTATGTTTCTTCAGAAACAGATTTAACAGATTTGGAGTTAATTCTCAGTATTTATATATAGTATGCTCCGCTGTCTCTCCTCGATAGTATGGATAGGTAATTAACACAATAAAATCACGTACAGCACTATAAAAAAAGCACCACCCCAGCTTCTACCCTTATCTTACTTGGTTTCTTAATAATAAATTCTTGTTTTTATGTTGTTGCCAACAGTGGAAAACACATTTACCGCGAAAAATGTCCCCGTCGGTCTGTTGGATTACGGCCAATAGAATTTCAAATATAGACAACATGACACGTATGGTAAATAAGGTAAAGTTAATTAAGCTCTACGTCATGAAGGCATGAGGGCATGGCGCTACAGCTCCACAATTCTTGACCTCGGCACTACATGGAAGTGTGACTATAATTAACACATAATTGTACCTAAGTATCAATAAACCGTCTTTTCTCGGAGTTTTAAGAGCTCCTTTTAAAAATACGAATCGAGTGTGTTACCGCGTTGAAAATTATCTAAAAATTAGCATATTCAGAATAAATAGTATTTATTTTATTCGTAAAAATTTCAGTATCCATTTTACTTTGTGCAAAAGATCTCGGGGTTGTTCGATAGCAAACTTCATTTTCATCGTCATGTTGACTACTTTACACTCTCAGAAACTAAAGACTAATTCGTTTCATCACATATAATTTTTCTTCTTTGGATAGCTTTATGTATTACCTTAATTCGTTCAAAGTTTGAGCACGCGTCTGTCGTCAGGAATACTCTTACTGTAGTAGATTCTAATAAGCTGGAAAACATACAAAGACGGTTTACAAATTTTTGCTATGATCGATTTATTCAGCCCAACTCTTTATGTAATTACGAATCAATGTTGTATTATTAACATTTTAAAAAGCTTTATTCAAGGCGAAAAATCTTGACGGTTAATTTCTTATTAACGTTTCCAAGAACAAAATTGACTGTTCTACCATGGATACTGATGGTCTCATGTATCCACTGATAAAATTAAGTGGCTTTTCAATCTTTAAAGTCAGCAATGTCCCGAGACTTAGCTCGTCAAAAAGGTGCATCACGGCTGCAAACAACATCTGCAGATCTATTGACATTTTCAGTGAACATAATATCTCACTTGAGGATAGATCTTCCTTTGCGTAATCCTTTGAGTTACGTCATTATCTTCTTACCTGTATTATTTTACAATCTAGTTTTAGTTTTAGTAATTTGTTTTAATTCGCTTAGTAGGGGGTGGAGTCCAACTGGGTCCACTCGGCACCACGGCCACTGATTGGCCTATTGTAGCCTGCCCCAGGTGATTATGATGATGGAGAATTTAGTGGAATGAAGATTGGCAGGGGAAACCGAAGTACCCTCCTCAGCGCCACTTTGTCCACCACAAATCCCATTTGACCAGACCCGGGATCGAACCCGGGCCGCCGCGGTTGGATAGTTTTAGTATTAGTTCCAACCTTAATCTAGTTTTTTGTGTATACTTGTAACGCTCGCGTGGTATAGGTCACTCGCTGCTGGTAAGTACTTAAATAAAGAAATTAAATCGAATTATTATTATTATTATTATTATTATTATTATTATTATTATTATTATCATCATCATCATCGTCGTCGTCATCATCATCATCATCATCATCATTAAACTTCAGAAATCAAACGGTGTGTTTAATTGTTGCGATGAGCACTGTGACAATTACAAAAATGGTAGAAGTCATAAGGGCATGTTTGACTGTTTTCGGGAAAAGGGATTTTTTTATCCTTAGCGTAGTTGATTGAAGCACTATGCTACAACTCGGAAGGTGGCGGGCTCGATTCCCGATGAGATCATTGGATGTAACAATTGACTAATCCTTTCATCTGCACTATGGTCCTGGAATCGGTTCAGTCTCTAACAGAAATAAGTACCAGGAATCTTCATGGGGGCAAAAGGTGGCCGGGGCTTTATGCTGACAACCTCGCCGCCATCTGTGAGACGATTATCTAGATCAGCGTTTTTCAACCGCCAGGCCACGGCCAGGTACCGGGCCTTGGCATAAATTATACCGCACCCTCGTCTTACAGAAAATAGAATTTACCTGGCCGCGGTCTGACAAAGGTTGAGAACCACTGCTCTAGAAAATGTGGGTCTTGACTTTTCACAACCCTGTGGGCCCCCATGGTCTGTTACAGGGATAGATTTACTTTTCATTTTAACATAGGAAAATTACAACACAAAGTTTTATAACTTTGAGTTCATGAGTCCATGTAGACGGAAGTATTAAAGGAATGCAGGCAACAAAACTGTTGTGTCACATAAGCAAAAGATATTTTCTAAAGATTATCAGGAATTGGGCATCGAAACCAATTAGGTATGCAAAATCACAAAAAAAAAAAAAAAATCGAAAATATGTTCACCGCTGTAGAATACAACTTTAAGCCGTTTCTTGAACTAGACAGCACCATCTTAATGCCACGGAGAAGTGAGAATATTTCTCGACACAATTTGCTCCATCAGACATGAAATTAATGTCGTTCCTCCTCTCAGTGTTCCCAACCTATCTCACCCGATTCCCACTTGGGGGCATATGGTTCAAATTTTATTTCACTTCGCTACAAATTATGTTGGGTCCTAAGTATTGTCGATTTTCATACTGCCAGCATTGAACTGACTTGTATTTAGGGCGACCTACTTTAGAAACTGAATTAGTATCCCTTTAAGCACAGTTGCTGTATATAACACAACAAGCGGTTTAACTTTAAAAATTCTTACATTTTACTCGTAGAGTGTATTAATAGGTTTCTTACGATTCTCACATTAACCGCCGATTATTTCATTCTTAATTTGTTGGTTTTATAATGCATGCGAACTGCTTCTGTTAGGTCTGGACTGAATCATTTAGAATTACTTACTGGTTTAAAACAATTAAGACACCTGTTGCAGACATGCATCACGCACGGAGGAAACGAGAAATAGTTACCAAGTTAGCTGAAAATCTTCAACGGAAAAGAACCCATGGAAGACGTAGATGCAGATGGGACCATAACGCTAAAGTGACTAAAGGAATAAGGGTAGATGCATTGAACAAGCTCAGGTTGTGGTCAAACGTAGGCGTTTTGTGAGCATAGTAATGAACATTCGAATTGTTTAAATGCAAGGAATTTCTTGCCCAACACAACTCATGATCGACCTTGTACACCGCGGTAGACAGATTGCTAAAGAATGTAGCATTGGACAGAAACCGCACGCGAGTTTTTCGTCTGAAAAATAAATGGACTCAGCATACAGAGTTCAACAAACGGGCGGTGCTGTGTAAGCTGACAGATGCAATGTATGGCTTGTTGCAGAGTGCGCATTCTTGCACAACTGAAAGGCATCAGATTCGATTAGAATTAAAATGAAAACGAAACTTTAATCTGCGCTCTAATTCTCTGGAGCCGTAAACTAATCGAAATAATGTTTAAATGCCACTACTTACCTCACAGGAAACACAATACGTCTCCGCTCTCAATATATGAAATTCTTAGTTATGTTTCCGCTCCTTGTTAGTTACAACAAGTTCGCGGGATCGTCGCTGAAAACGCCACTTAACGGTTCTAATACGAGTTCTGCTTACTAGAAACACATGCGAAGAAAATAATTATAGACATGATATACGAGAGCAAAATTCAACAAAGACGGCCGCAAAGACTAAATCGACACCTAGAAATGGTCCATATCTTTTCCGCATACATGGTCAAATTTACCATTTAATCTCAAGTAAAGCAGGCAAATAAGTCAAGGTATGAATAACTTTATATTTTAATTCTGCTGCAGAAGCAATTAAACGGCTTGACAAAGAGTCGACCGAATTAACACAAAGATTGGACGATATTAGGCGACAAGTTCACCCATCTGTCGAGTCATATAAACGAATACATGAAATGAAATATCCAAATAAATAGACTGCACTAATATTTAACTAAGATTATAGCGTAGTTGGTTAAGGCACTATGCTACAAGCCGGAAGGACGCGGGTTCTGTTTCTAATAAGGTCACTGGATTCTTCAATTGACCTAATCCTTCCAGCCACACTATAGCCCTAGGTTCGACTCAGCTTCTAACAGAAATGAGTACCAAGAATCTTGCTGGGGGTAAACGGCTGCAGAAGCGCAAGGCTGACAACCTCATCGCCATCCGTGAGCCGACTGTCTAGAAAATGTAGGAGCCTCGACGTCTCACAAAGCTGTGGGCCTCCACGGCCTGTTACGGGGACAGCTTTAACTTTTCACCCTTAAGATATGGAACGGCGATTGTTACGCCGGGTACAGCTGGTATTTAAAATCGCCTGAATCATGGCACAGTCACAGATAACTAAAATACCAAAAAACGAACTAACTAACCCCTTTCATGGAGGACAGCCCTCTTGAAACGTTAACAGTCATTCAGCCGGTTAAGAAATTCCACTTTTTTCGTGAACTCTGAAGGTTCATTGCCATGTTCACTTAAATTTCATGTCCATCTTTTTTTTTTTTTCCTTGGCACTACAGCCCCAGTGGGCCTAGGCCTATCTCCATGAACTTCTCCGTTCACTTCCGTTTTTCTAGATCTTAGACATTCGGCAGGACTCCTTGGGCGGGTTATCAGCTCGTCGCAAGGCCTGTACCTGTACATAAACACAGAGAAACGCACACAAACATCCATGCCCTGAGTGGGATTCGAACCCACGATCCCGGCTGCCGAGCGAGCGAAGACAGTTCACGCCCATGTCCATCTTACCTTCATCAAATAACTGCAAAGATTCGAAAGTCCGATTCCCTGTGTAACATTTCGAAATATTCAATAACTTCATGATGAGAAATTCTTAGCGTAATTCTAAAGCCACCCACGCCTACTCTGCTGACCGCCAGTGTTTTTTCGTTATATTCGTAGCTATCTGTCATAAATGGGGATTCTTTCATCAATCCACATCTTAAGCATGTGTCATGTCGTGGTGACAAGGGACCCACTGGACACGGAGAACAGGGACTAGAAATACAGGATATCCGTATTTTAGTGATACAATTTTGGAGATAAAATACGAGGCAACTACAAAACATACTCATATATAACCGGTATCAGAGGAAAGCAAAATTCTCAGAGATTTCAGAACTGACGATATGTCTTCATATTACCTATCTTTACCACCAGGTTCCGCAATATTCAGAAATAACATCT